TTACGTATTACGTATATTTTAAAGATTTTATCAATGTTTATAGTTTATTATTTATTCAATTGTTATAGACAATTCACTAGATAATTTCTTAGATAATTCAAGTAATAGGCAGAATTTACACTCCATCTAATTTCACTTATCGATTCATAGAATATATATATAACCCATTTAAGCTCACGCAATTAAAATCGTGTACGTACATTTTAGATAAACGCGGGTGCCCCCTGCGTTAGATCGAAGTTTTTTTTATATACACATGAACTTTTTGAATGCTTGCCAAGTTGTTTTTTTAAACATTATCGGGTAATTGATTCCTATTACATAATATTACATTCTTGTATATTATTTAATTATATACAGTTTTAATGATAATTTTATGTAATTACTTAACTTACTATAATATACAAACTATGCGTTATATAAGGAATATCGAATCATAAAGTATTTTTGATAAAGTAATATCAGTAATTAATTATATTTTAAATTCTATACTTTTTCTTACACATTTAAATATTTTACAGAAGAATTGGATAATTTGTAAAATAATGTATAAGTATTTTTAAATTCAAATTAATTATCAAGAGTCGATTTTGAAATCATTTCTTACGTATTTGCTAAATGTGTTATGTAAATATTTAAAAAATCTTCATATAACAAAATTCATATTAAAATGTATTTTATAAAATTAAGTATAATACTTGATAAAAATTTTTATTGTATTTTGTGCATTAGAAGTTTTGTTAAAAATTTAATAAAAATTAATAAATAATATATAAAAAAAATGCTTAGAATTTTTTAATAAATTAATTTGGAATTAATATTAATTACGTGCATGACAATTTATATATTAATTTGCACAGAGATGCGTTGATTTATTATTTAAAAACTTCTCACAAACAAATTTTGATTAATAGTAATTATTAAATTATATACGCAAACATTTTATAATAAATAAAATTATTATTACTCCATTTTTAACGACTTTTATTGAAAAAAGTAATATTCAGTATTTTTAATATGCTTATAATATATTTCAGTTTTAATATGTATTCAAATTATCATAAAAAACTATATTGTTTCTACAGGAAATTCAGAAAAAACATTTTTGTATTTTTTGACGATAAAAAAATGTTAAAACATTGATACACATATTTGTATATATTAAATAATTTATGCTTAGAAAATGTCTATAAGTAATCCAATAAATTTTTATGAAATATAATAGATGTTATTATATTTAAATTTCATTTATCATTTATTAGAAATATCATATAATAATGAAAATATTATTTATTAAAACTTTATATCTCAATGGTTTTATTATCAGTTTATTTATTATCAACATATGTATTATTTTCAAAATTATTAACTTTATGAAAATGTTATTTTTGCAAAATCAGTTCTTGTATAATTTTTAAATAGAATTAAATTTCTTAATAACAATCATGCCTTATGTAAAGCTATCATGAAGGAAAAATATTAAATAAATTTTATTACGATTAAAAATACGTATTCTAAATTTTATAAATCCTATTTTTAATAAAATTGGATCGTTTATTTTTAAGGTATGACGTAGAAGTAATGAAAATTAAATAAGAATTTTTGTAATAATAAAAAACATGTTTTTAAAAAATTCGTATTCAGTCAAAAGAAAAATTAGGAATCTGAACTTCTTTCTAATATTGAAGAAGGCGCATTCGGTATTAAAAGGTGTGCCACCATAAGGATTCATTCTTTGTTATTTTTAGAAAATATGTCCGTAAGGTAATCGATCGTCTTGTGCAGACTATCGACAGTCATTTTTAACAGTGTTTATACAAATGTCTACAATTCTCTAATCTAATACGTAATACTTAATATATATCATATAAAGATAGAAAAACGAACTTTATTTAAATAAAATTCCAGTGCTTTTTTTCTTTAAATGCCAAGTGTTTTAATTTCGGGAGCTTGACGTCAACTTATATTGTTTCCTGCAAATATATTACTTGAATTTATAAATCAATTAGTAGTAAAAATGGATTCGGTATTTTTATGTAAAAAAATAAACTGATACTTTATATTAATTTATAATAGATGCTTAAGTTACCAACTTTATTTATCTAAGAGAACAATTAATTGTATTTAATAAAAAGTATCAAATATTTTTTAAATGAAAAAATCTTATAATAATTGATTCTGTCAAATAATAAGGTGAATATACATTTAAAAATATATAAATACTATTTCAATTAACAATTAATAAAACTTTTTTATTTATACTTCAATTGTATTTTATTTTATATATCCATGTAATTAATAAAATTTAACTATAAAATATACTAATACTTTTCATTAACATACTTAACAACGCATAGAAATTCACTATTGACTTTTTTCGCAAACAAGCCATGGCTTCATGATCGTGATAATGCGATTACAGACACATGCGAATGTAGCTCGCGTCGAAGAGTTTGCGCCGAGGTCATTGGTCATAAAAGTCGCTTGAGTAGTTGCAAGTCGTTTTAATAAATATCTCATAAACTGCTCGAACAGACACTAAAAAACAAAAGCTTCAGAATGAAAAGCTCACCATTTTTATTATTATTATTTTGGCTTCATTATTATGATTAAAAAAATTATGTTTAAATTAAAAATAATAAGTATAATAAATCAAATAAAATTGGTTTTATAGTAGTAATAGCAATCATTTTCGGGCAAAATTTTTAACTTTATTTTATATATTTTCATTATATCATTTATTAGATAAATATAAATATTCAGTTAGTGTCATTTATAAGTTCATTAGAATGTTGGAAAAACTTGCACTTTACATAGACGAAATGTTCATATTTATGTAGTAGTAGTAGTTGAATTATTAAATAATTTATTAAATAATCGACAACATAAAATATATGTTATTTGTGATTATATTTATTGTTTACTTATTATTTTAATTATTATTATATTTAATCTATGTAAATATATTAAATAAATCTCAGACAGCAAGCAATAAAACAAAGTATATATATATATATACGTTGTATAAGAATTGTTCGTACAACTAAAAACAATTAGAGTAGATAATTAATTTAGATTATTTCAGAATACATTATAGCACATAGTATAGACTATTGTTTAATTAGTCACGTTATTAGACTACTCAGTATCGATTTTTATTTGTTGTAACATATTAGAATAGTATAGTTCTATAATTTACGAGAATCTCTCTTTTTCAACAAAACAGGCTAATGGGCAAAGTTTTATCTGCTTCGTTAAAATCAACTTTATTATAAATTAAAAGGTACTTGAAGCAGTTTCAAATATTTAGATTCATGAAACATGGATACTCAACAAACTTTGGGATCTCCAACCGAAATTTCTACTGAACGTAAAGTACCTATGGTAAGGATTCGTAAGAAATCAATCGGATTATGTTAAAAAATATTTTGGTTTTATTAAATTTATTAGAAAGAAATTCGAAAACCGATGAATAGAGTTATTTTAGATGGATATATTAAAGTAATTAATACTTTTGAAATAGAGATTATCGCAAAAATATAAAACTATAAATGTATATAAAGTTGTATGAAATACTATAATAAAAGTTGCATATTATTTCATAATGAATTGATAATGAAATGAATGATAATCATTTTAATACTATTAATATTCTTATTATGAAAATTAAGAGAATTTAAGAAATTGTTCGGAACAAAATTTTAAATAAAATTAATTTTCAAAGCAGCCATTTAAATTCGAATAAATGTCAATAAAAATTTGTTAAAATTTGTTAAAAATTAAAAAATTAAATGTATATTTGTAACTGATTGTTAATAAAACAGAGTTCAAAAAAGAAAGTTTAAATTGGCGAAAATTAAAACATTTTTATTAAAACATAAAATATAATTAAAACAAAAAAAGAGATTCATTGGCAAATACACGAAATGGGAATGACAAAATATTTAGGTATTGTTATTTAATAAGAACATTTTAATTACATAATTATAGAAATTGCATAAATTAATATTTGTTCAATAGTACCAATTAAATAGCTTACTGTTTAATGAAATCTAGTAATGAATTTCCAATCGATTTTGTAAGGATTCAAGAAAAAAAGGAATGAACTACTGTCAGGTTCGGTGAAACTTCAAGCTAACATGAGATTAAATAATTTTTGCGTTTTCTTATTTCGAGAGATCGATGTAGTTAGGATAATATATTTTATCGACAATTTTTTGAATTTAGTTTATTTTTTCGCTAACTATTTGTAAATAATTATTTAGTACATAAATTCTATGACATAGATTGATATGAATGATTTTATTCTATTATTAAATATGATTTATATAATGAATTATTTGCTATTTTAATTTGATTATTAACAACTTTTTTATTCATTATTACGAGATATATTATTTTAATATATATTAATATTAATAATTAATAAATAAGTATTATTATGTAAAAATTATTATATAATATTTATAAATTTTATAATTTTTATATATAAATATATAGGTTTATTATACATGTATATATAAATTATATATGATAAACTTTATTCATACATTGTAGAATATATATTTTATGTGTATTAAATATAATGGAACTCTGAAATATTTATGCAAATAAAATTATCCTAAATGTAATTATATAATTATATAATTAGATAATTAGCATTTTTAATTAAATTTCTTAACACGCGTGTCATATGAGTAAATGAATAGTGAAATAATATCTATACGCAATTATCTATAAAAATACATATTGTATATATGGCAATATATGGTATGTATATATTATATTCATGTAATTCGTTCAGAAGTATGTATTTAATAAATATTTAATTATAATTACTTAAGAATGGATAAACATTAGTTAAACATACTGCATAATAGATCAACATATACTAAATATTACTAATAAAGTGATATAAATTATTTATAATATTTTTAAGAAGTAAAGCAGGAACATACAAAAGTATATACCACATATTCGTAATAAAAAGATTTCTATAGGTTAAACAGAATCCTCAAATACCTACAAATCTACAAAATCATCAAACACAACTTCAAAGCAGTAGGCTAAATTTGATTTCACCGGGCCTTCGCAATCTGTCAACCACTACGAATTCGGTGGATGGTACACCTCCATTTCAATATTCTGGTGGACCACTATCTTTGTACCATGTTGATGGTCGATCTCAACTGAATCCAGGAGGTCAACAAGGTCAATTTCCTCCGGCAAGACCATACGGATTACCACTTCAACGTGTACCATCCCCTAGGAACTTTTTTTTTGGAAGACCATCGCAATCGGATTCGTCTTCAGGTGGTCCGCCACCTCGTTTTATACACGGACAAACATCATCAACGGATCAACAAGGTCAGCCACCTTTAAGTGCCAGACTACCTCAATCCTTTAATCAAGTAGGTTTCGCTAATCGACCGCCATTTCAACCACTTTCTGGCGCTGCAAGCAATGATCTACGATTACCGAATCGGGGACTTCTTCAAAGAAATAACTCCGTAGGGGGTATTACAACTTCTCCGAGATTTTCACATCCAAATTTTCCTCTAGGCCAACGACAACAGCAGCAAAAAAACGGTTTGAATTATCAATCTCGGCTACAATTTAGCGTTGATAAGATGGTCGATACAGATGTCAATCAATTACATCGGCCACTATCAAGTGCATCATTAAAAATCGATGATAATGATAAATTTAATAGTGCCTTTGATGCAAGTAGCTGTGAAAATGATAAAGAGAGTGAAGATGGAGAAATTGATGAAGAACAACAGTCAATTAATAATGATGCGTTTATTGATATTAAAAATTACGATTTAGAACTGATGAATAGTGCAAGAAATAATTATGAAATACAAAAAAAAATTGAGTTTAAAAGCTTGTCTTCAAAAATGACTGACATTAAGTTATCAGACTTTGAGTCATCAGCCATGAAAGTTCATCCATTAAATAATCAAATGCAAAGACGATTCAAGAAATTAAAGGATACACATACTTCGCTACCTGAGGTATCCATCAATAAAATGAAAGAAAATCTTGAAACAGCTGAAATGCAAAGTTCGTTACCTCAATCATCAATAAAAACATCTGCTGACTTTACGAGCATTAAGAGTTTTGTTGATAGCCAAAGGAAGATGCTTTCATCAGCTAGATCTTTCATTCATCAATCACTAAATAACACCTCTCTCATGTCTATAGCAAGTGAAAATGAAAAAGGATTAACATTTAATAAAGCAATAAATTTATCCAATGAGGAAATTGCGAAGGTTGGAATAAATAACACTGGTATTTCGAGAGACCGAGCCATTGGGTCCACAAACATTTTGAAGAAATCATCTTCCAATGGGTTGATTAAAACAGGTCTTTAAACTGTATTCGATTCTTATTCTACTCATGAAAATTTTTTATTTAGTTCTTTGCATTGAAAAATATAATACATGCGTTATAAAATTGATTTTTGCTTGGGACAATATTTATGTCTCGCTTATCTATTTTGAAGTTATCTATTTTTTATACATTAATTATTTTTATTATTTGTAGATGCTGAAAATGACAGTGGAGTTGATGAAACAATGCAGCAAAGAGAGGTATGGGTTTAAATAAATTTCAGTAGTTGATGTATAGTAATAATATATAATTAAAACTAATCATTTTTATATATAAGATAATATGTTACTCTATATCATGATACATCATAACCGAATTAAAGAATTTCATAGATTATTTATTATTGATTAACGAAAGAAGGTTTAAATTTTATCGTATATACATTTATATTGTATATTAATTTTTGTATCATGTAAGATAGACGTATTTGAAACTATAAAATTTTTAATATATAATTATATTATATAATATAATTATGATCGTTGGAGTATAATTTTCAATCAATGTAATAATGTTAAAAGTTAATAAAAATATCGATTAATTAAAAATATAAAATTATTAATTAATAATTTATACTGTATAAAAAATAATTTTTAATCGTGTATTATTTAGTAATAACAAAAATTTATTTAAAGAGAATAGTGTTTATACATTATATAGCAAATAATAATATAAAAAATTGTAAACTTTTGATATCTAAATTTAATATTTCTAAATATTGAAATATAGCTGAGTAAGTGCGAAAACAGTATTTCTGAAAGCAAAAATTCTAGTAATTCATTTGATATAAAATAAATTATTGTTATTTATTTTTTATGTTTAGGGGCCAAGGACAAATGGCATTTCTGAATTGTCAAAACAGTCACCTGATAACAATAAAAGATCGTCAAGAGCCGGTTCTCCTGTAAAGTCTCCAAGTAAATCAATTAAAATTTTGCCGAGAACGCCGGATGCGGCTCCTCTTACAACTGTCCAAGACAAAAAAAGTAAGTCACCGGATAGCTGCAAAATTAAATGATTAGAATTTATTTATTTGTTTTATAATTCTATTCAACTCTATTTGGGATTCTTGATTAACAATTGCTTTATATATATATACCATTCATTTTTCTAATTGGATATGTTATTTCTCTTTTTATTTACGAAACATTGTTTCAGAAGTTCCAATGAACAAAGTACAAGTAGGTGCTGCTCCATCACCAAATTTAAAATCTGTGAGATCAAAAATTGGTTCGTTAGATAATAGCACTTACAAGCCAGGAGGTGGAAAAGTCAAAATAGAAAACAGGAAGCTGGATTTTAGCAAAGCGCAGCCAAAAATTGCAGCCAAAAATGATAAATATATACCTAGTGGTGGCGATAAAAAAGTTAGTAGTTTTGACGACTTATTCAAATAAGAATAGAAATGGATAAAAATAAATTTTGAAACAAAACATTTAGCGGATATAAAATTATAATTGAAAAATCTTTGAACACATTTCAGGTATTTCATTTTATTGTATTTGTATTAACTGTCTAAAAAAATATTATATTTTAAAATATTATGATAAAAAGCTTTTTCAGGAAAGTGTTCATTCTTGAAGTGATATAGATATTCATAATTAATTTACTAAATAGTTCATATATTGACATTATTATATTTATAATTTATAGTTACATTTTATTATAGTACATATATTGGTATAATTATATTTTCATCTAAATAATTTTAATAATATTTGCTTAAATAATTGTTCTATAAAAATTAATTATTAAAAGTACCACATGTTATAATATTCAATAGTAAAGGTAGTATCTGTTCAAATGGGATTAATTTGTTTATTAAGCTTAATATCAAAAGAAAACTATTTCAATAGAAATTACTATAAGTACTCAATGTAAATACAATTCATATAATCCTTTCACAAATAAAAATATCATTAAAAAATTGTTTTCATTTCAGTTTATAACATGTTAAATAAAAATAAGTAAAATAGTTACAATTAATAAAATTACAAGTAAAGTAGAAATACACTTCTATTCTTAAGAACAATTATTTATACAATTATTAATAGAAAATAAATATCTCAAGTACTAATTATAAATTAAAACATTTTCTTGAAGATTCAACAAGTGAAGCTTCAGTGGAATGCAAAACCGAAAATTGGTTCGTTAGACAATGCAGCATATAAGCCTGGCGGAGGAGACAAGAAAATTGAGACAGTGAAATTAGATTTCAAGGACAAAGCCAAGTCAAAAGTCGGATCAAAAGAAAATGCTAAACATGTGCCTGGAGGTGGATCTGTCAAGGTATGAGCTTGTGCTTTTCTCGCCGGCGACTATGTTTTCAGCCAATCCTTGTATACATTATCTTTTGCATCATGTGTATACTAGTTTTCTTCTAGAATGTGGCGAATGAAATGTATGTATTCGTATAATCATTGTCCTTAAATATTGTAATACCAGCTCTCAGCGTTTGACAAAGATAATTTTAAAAGCATGAATTATAGGAGACAGTAGATAAACTAGATTTTTTTGTGAAACGCGTAAAGAAATTTAACTTTAAAGCAATGTAGTCTGGTATACAAGTGATGGTTATTTTGTTGTATTCATATATTAATTGCTTCAGAATATTGTACAAATTGATATGCGATGTACAATTTTTATATACATTGATATGTGTGCATATAATAAGTTGTGCAACAAAAATTTAAGTCTAAATAATTAATATAGTTTAAATTACACTGCTTTATTATTACCTTACCTTATCTTACATTACCTTATCGATTTAAAAAAATATATATATTGTTTCTAAAACTAGTACAGTTATTTTAGAGTGATATTTGAATAATTGGCTTATCTATTCATTGATTGATATAAATATATGTCGATCTTTTACATATTTTTTAATAATATGAAAGAAAATTAACAGCTAATTGCTTTAATTCATATTTCATATTATTATATGGTTAATTTATTTGTTAATGATAGTTTAACATTATGTATAGTTGTGTAAATAAACTAAATTATAAAAAGTATAAGTATCATAAGAATATTTATTAATTCCTTCAAAATTATTATTTTAGTCAATTAAATTTTTATTTGAATGTATTGTGTAAGAATATAAGTATATGCTTATGGGATTTCATACACATAACCTTTTGTAAAGATAACAATTTTTAATATTTATAGTATATAACAAAAGTAATGTTTTTAAATAAACTCATTCCTTAATATTTTATTTTTTGCATGTTCTACTTACAAGTACAACAGCTAAAGTACAATGCAATATATTAATTTAGTTAATGCATAACAGTATTCAATAATAAAAATAACAAGTTCTTTTAATTTTCGTCGTGCTTTTTTTTGAAAATATACTAAAAATTAACTTTTAAACAATTATAAAAGATGATTGATGAATATTTTGAAACCGCATTTGATTTTTTGAAGTCAATAATCAATAAATAATACCTCATTATTATTATTTTTTTAATTTTAGTCATTGTTGATGACTACAATAATATCAAATGATAATCTCATTTTGATCAACGTAAGTATATATTATCGTTTATAAACAAGTTCATGTTCATTCTCGGATACTGAAGGGATGTCTGTAAAAAATTATCTTTTTAGTATTAGTTTAGTATAGATATAAATCCAATAAAGATGTTTATTAAATATAAATCGAAACTTTCTAAAGCGTCCTTCAAATGCAGTCTTTGAATAATGAAAAGTGTATAACCTTTCCAGAGATAATAAGTATTTTTTTAGAGCAATTAGTATCGATCTACACTCAGTAATTAATTAGAGATATTTAATCATTAATAAAGGTTTTATAATCTTATGATTTTGAGAAGATCGGAATAATTATTGTGAAGTGAGTATTATGAAATTTTTTAAGAAAGTCCATAGCATATTCTATCTTTGTATCTGTCATTCACAATATACACTTATTATTGTATATATGCTCCTATAATTAGATATTTAGACACAGATATAAATAATACTTCAACATTTACTATTCACATACTTATTTTTGTCAATCATTCATTATGTACTGGAGTATTAGAAAGAAGATATATAATAAAAATAAGATTTTTTTAGTTTATAATAATATAATTATTTAAGCTGTATTATAAATTTGAAAATTTGTTTTAACAATCAATATAGGTGAATAAGAATAATATACATATTTTATTTTTAAATTTTCTAAATCTCTCTGATTTTTAATATTTTGTGTAAAATTTTATTTATAAGCAAAAGTTTGTAAATTGTTTTTTTATGCTCTTACATAATATTTATATTGAAAGATTATATATTTGTATTACAATTTTGAATTAATGTTATCAGCCTATTAAATTCAAATATGATTTGTCATCATTTAATACATTGTATGTAAAATTAAAAAATCGCACATTTTCGTAAAATAGTTTTACAGGTAAAATAATGAAAATAATATTAATTAACTTAAATAATTCATTTTTTTAATAATTTCTGAAAGACTCTATTTTCAAAAATATAAATAAATAATTATATAGATATGCAATATATATAAATAGGAAAAATAAAATTGTAAATATTAATCAATAAATTTTTATTAATATAGCTTTAAAATACCAATTTTATGTTATCTGAACTCGTTAGGTGAGTAGTAATCAAGAGATCTGTAATTAAATTATTCATAGTTCAAAATTTAAAAAACTTTGATTATATTCTATACTTCAATTTATAATTTTTTTCAAATTATTATCTATCACAAATACAAAACATATATACAATATTTAATTTATTTGAAATATCTAATATAAATATATACATATATATGTATGTACACTGTATATACATATGTATTATGTTGTGTACACTGCACGCATGAAAAAAAAATTCATATGCATACTCAAATGCTTGGACAACAATATAATTATTAACTGTCTTACAAAAAATAATTCTTTCCCAAAATTTATATAATTCTATAAGGTCTTCTAGTCTCAATTATATCTTAGTTTGATAGCAATAAAAAAATTCAATTGTATATTTGTACAAAAAAGTTACGACTCAGCATTTTTAATGTTATTGTTTTGTATGATATTTTATTTTAATTTTATTATTGTTATTGTCATAAAGGATATGAATAAATATTTAAGTCTTTTTATATGCATGCTTATTGTTATTTTACATTATGCGTACATTTAACTTGTTGATATTATACATTTACAAATGAGATTGTTTTTAATCTTACTACCAATGAGATTTTTTATTCTATTAATATATTATTAATTCATAATTTTTATAGATTTTAAAAATAAAATTAATATTTTCACATTTAAGATTCAATATTAGTAAAAGATTGAGTAAGCAATAAAAATTTAGGATGTAAGAAATAGTGGAACATAAGGAACTCTATATATAATACCTTTGTTTTCATAATTTTTTATAAATATAATTAATTTGGTATTTATTATTTTCTTATTACTATGACTATTCTTTCATGATTTAAACTATTTAATCGTTGTATTGTGTATGTAAATGAATTACAAATATTTCTTTATTCATCTGAAAATTCAGTACCAGTTTAATCATGTCTTAGTTTCAGAATTTCTTGGTTTTGAATGAAATTGTTCGAAATGGTTTTTTATAAATACTACATATTCACTATTAAATTTTTAATTTTTATAATATATTCTGACCTAAACTTTGTCGTCTTAGAATATTTTATTACATCAATTATTTAGTTACAAATATTATTATATCGTTATATACTCTCTCATTCTTTTCCTACAGGTAACTGATTAAATATTTTATTTTATATTTTCTTGCCAATATTGATTAATATTATTTTATAGAGCAAAATATATGTATTGCATCTGTTATTGCATCTGTGTATGCCAACCTTGATTATTATTATTTCATAGAGCAAAATATATGATTTTAGAAATCAGTGCTTGCTTTAATTTTTTGAGCGAAATAGAAGATGTTACAAATTTTCTATAAATTTTTATATTTGTATTTGAAAGCAGTTTTTCTTTTTTCACATCTTTACAATTTCTATTTTACGAAATTGTGAAAGAAATGTAATTAAGCCTTTAATCCTTACAGATTGAAACACAAAAAATTGAAATTAAGGCTGAAAGTAAAATTGGTTCATTGGAGAATGTTAAGCACAAGCCTGGTGGTGGGGATAAAAAGATTTTTGATGACAAAACATATCTACGACAGAACTCTTCAAATGTAGGGAGCATTAGTGGTAGTGGCTCACAGGTATTTTTAACTTAACATAAATTTAAATAAATATATGTATGTAAAACGGATAAACTAGACTTTTATTCAATGATATTTTTCAATTTAATATTAAAACTAAAGATATAGACTAATTTTTATTACTATCATTTTTTCGAAATACTTAAGCTTAAATATTTAGGCTTGTAAAGTAAATTTTTAAAAATATTTATAAATATACTAATACATTGACATAAAAATAAAATTAATATTTTGTTATCCACATTGATAATTTTTAATTAAATTTTTAAATTTAATTAAAATAACTAGATATTTCCAAAAAGTTAATTATTCCATAATGTTTAATTTGATGATGATAAAATTGCTGTACTTATTCATAATTGAAATGCTCACGAGCTCATTGATTCGCCAAAAATCCAATGTAAATACTCAATATGTCCATTAAAAAAGAAATTGAAAAATATTTGATAACTAATTTCTATTTCTTAGATATTTTAGTATTATACATTTTATATTTTTAATTTATTATTCTACTGATACTAATTTTTTCGCTCTTTCTTATAATTTTCTATCTTTAATTATTTTGATGAAAATCGAACTCAGAGAATCATTTCTAATATATTTTATTGATAATTAATTGTGATATCCATGAATTTTATGGATGAGATAACAGTTGTGAATAATAAAATATGAATTTCACTAAATAATTCTCTTACACAATTACATAGATGAATAATCAATTTTGTAATTTAATATATCATTGAAATAATAATAGATTTGCAATGAAATTTTAACGTATTCTTATTCATGATAAGTGAGAAATTTTATAAAAATCATTTAAAATTTTTTTTTTTTAATTTTATAATAATCCAATACTACAGTCATTTAATAATGGGAAAAATAGTTTTTAATAATGTTATTCTGATTGTACTAAAAAGGTAAAAAAAGAGTATTTTTTATTATCAGTAGAATATTTCTCATATCGGTATAAAATAAAATGTAATTAAATGTTAATTAAAATAATAATACTCAGGTTTTTGAAAATATAAAGCTTACTCTATTTTGACATGCTGAAGTATTAAATAATGGAAAGTAAAGTTTTTATGTTAATTATAAAGTAAATTAAATATGAAGTCGTGTTCCAATAGTATTGACAAATCTTGATTTAATTTCTAAATATTCGATGGATAAAATATCCGTTCTATATCCACGACTAGAATAACGATATAAAAGGTATCAGCCAACAAAGTCGACAATTGCTTCATCGTCTAATTATCTGATAACTTGAATTACCATAAGAAAAAAACGAGTATCACGGCCCAAACGTTAATAACATTACAGATAACTCTTGTTTTGTTTTAGAGTCCAATAGCTTCTGGAACGGGGATTGACAAAAATGGCCTCCCCATTTCGGACAAGAATCTGAATCAAGAGTATTAAATCTTCAGGAATTGTTCTCGTTGCTCTTCTGCCTTCACTTTATAATAGACATACTTGTAAATGTACTAATTAATGGTGACCAGAGCCAACTGCCGAAAGTAGACCTTGACAAGCAGTGCATGACTTATTACCGAGCAGATCAAATCTACATTTTAATATTTCAAATTCGAAATTATTGTTGAATGATAATTTGAAACATAATATCGAATTTATTATGGTATTTGATAATAATGAATAATACTCGTCATTTTATATGTGTATAGGTTTTTTTAATCATGTCAATGTCTATTATCTCACACTTTGTTCAGTTAAATTATGAATATCACTGACAGTTCATTTAACTTCCTATTTCTAAATATATGAATCATAGAACAGAAAGTGCACTATAGAAACTTTGTCATTAAATTTTTAATTTGCTATTTAATCTATTTTATCCTGTTTTAGTAGATTATATTCATATAATATTTTATAATATTTTATAATAGCATTTATAAACAATCGTGTATAAAATTTTCGAAATAAATTAAAATTTTTAATTTTTAAATAAAGCCCCAATTTGAAAATTTTATTTAGAAAAATATTTAAAAGAATAAAAATTAATTATTCATCTACTTTTAATACATCTGTTTATATTTTAAATTCAAATTCTATCATACAATAACCAAAATTTAAAAACAAATTATTTATTTAATCAGAGTTCGGGTATTATTTCAAAAATTTGTAATGTAAAAAAAATATTAAAAATTAAAAAATTTAGAGATTGAATTTAATTAATTTATTTAAAATATGCTAAACTAATATATATAAATATATACTAATAATGATGTAATTATCAATAATTTTGTCAAATGTCCTTGTATTAAATTTTCTTTTAAATAATTCATTTGTATATACTTTAGATTCATTTAGTAATGAAATAATTAATTATAATTTAAATTTTAATGTAAAAATTGAAACATTGTTTAATCATAGAATAATTTATAAATAATTTACAAGATATTAAAACATATATAGATATATATTAAAAGTTTCAATTAATCATATTCATTTGGTAGAATTAACGAATATGGATTAAAATAAAAGCATATTTACACTAATAGAAAAGCGCTGTATAATTATAAGACAATATTATTCGAATCGATTCAATCAGCAAATTTACGTTAATAATTATATTACAGCGTAATTAAAAATGAGCTAATTTAGAAGGTTGAAACGATATAAAATAATTTCATTGATATTTTATATAAGTTTTCATTATATAGTTCGAAGTTGTATAAGCAAAAAATTATTCTTTAAATACATTTGTGAATGTATTTGTAAATTATTTTATTGTTCTTCACATGTACATTAACAATTTAAAAAATTAATTATATACTTTGTATATTATCACATAAGTAATAATAAATGTTATTAATATCATAATCAATACAATAATTATTATAAATATATTATATCATTTAATTCACTTACATATTTTAATTTATAAAAAATGAATGCAAAACTGGATATTAATACGATACAATTATCCAATTATTCATATTATTTGTATTAGTTACACAACGCTTTTCAAATAATACCTTTTTCATTCTTGAGTTTGATAGAAGAATTTTAGTAAAGTTTTTTACTAAGTATGAAGTACCATTATTACCGTGTTAATTATATTACCGAAGGTATTTTATTGAATGTACTTCATCACACGAGCCATTTCTTTAATATTAATTAATTAATTTAATTTGTTAATTTCATAATATTAATTTTTTATAATTATTAAAGTTATATCAGTTTCATAAAAAGATGAACGTGAGAGAGAGCCATTAAAGTAATAATAAAATAATAAAATAAAAATATTAACAATATAAATTAACAGCATAAAATATTAACAATAATAAATATAAATTCAATAAATTACAAGTTTTTTGCATTATATTTTTACAATATTTTTGCATTTTTTATTTGACTTAATTAAATTGATAACATACTTGTAGATTAATATGGATGAAAATAACATAATATAAAAATGAAAGCTTAAGCTTGCTACTATTATGATCCATAAAAGTTATGTTATTTATTATACAAATATCTTACCTTAAATATTCTTAATCAATAATTAACAAATTTATGGTTTTCTAAACTCAGTTTCATAAATTTGATAAAAATTATGTAGTAAATATTGAAATATGTAATTGACATGCATGATGTGCATTATAATTTTATTCATTGATTTGTGCTTTGTTTAATTTGTTAGTTTTAACAACTTGCCAATACACCAAATTTACCAAACAAAAGTTATAATTATTTAAAGTGACAGTCTTAACAAAGTATTACAAAGTGTTTTTTCTAAGAAATCGAAAAATTTATTAAGTGGAATATTATAAATGGATTACTCTGATGAAACGTAATTACGCGAATTAAATGTGACCTACATAAGTGTCTAGAGACAGCAGGTATTAACATAACTACACTGGAGTACTAATATAACCCAAAATGAAGTCGCATTATAACCACTCATTTATTCAGATTTAACACAAATTTTGTCAATGGATAATAACTCCTCTTCATCTTTAATATGCAGTTTTACAAGAAATGTTACAGGACGAGCTCTGGAGAAATAGTCACTATAGAATTGAACCATACAATAATGTTTATATGAATATAGTATAGATATAATTTTTTAAAACTATCCTTTGATAGTTCTTATCTTAGATTTGTATTCTTTATGGCGTATCAATTGAACGATTATGTATATTTTTCGTAAATTTTATTAAATACTTAACAACATACTGAAATGAGTGAAAAATATTTGATACCAAATACTTCACACATTATTCTAACATATTATAAATAGTCGATTTGTAGTTTCAATAATAATTAAATAGTAAAAACGGCACCTATGAAAAAATCATTTTAAATTCAAAATTTGCAATTAACATTTTATTAATAATAATTATATTATAATAATCAACAATATACAATGAATATAGAATCAATTATTTAAAATTTAACTTAAGTTAAACATATTATAACAATATTATTAAAAATAATATGCTTTACAAATTTTTACCTATTTTATAATTGAGCAATAATTTAAAAAAAATTTACATACGTTATTTTTTTCTTGGTTTACAAAAATATACTAATCCAAATTAAATTATAAAGTAAGAATTAAAAAATATCAATGTTTTTTTACAATTTGTATTATATATTGCGTAAAAGGATTTTTAATTATATCCTTGATGATAGTTGATAAATAGGTCAACCTACATTAGCAAATATATATGTTACGTTATAAATATTTTGGTTAATGAATATTGTAAAAAAACCATCCAAGAAATGAAGAATAAATGAAAAATGGACATATTCGAAGTTTAAGGCAACACTTATGTCTATAAAACATCATACATTATATGCAAGATTGTTTACATACTATACGAATTAACAACTCATAGATAATTGTAAAAGTAGAAAAGTGTTATGAAGTGTTATGAATTATTTTTAAGAGCTGATTTATATTTCAAAAAGTGAATAGGAAATAGTTTTTAATTTATTTTTAAAATTAAGCAGTTTAATTTTTCATGGATTTTTAATACCTTATATGCTATGATACTTTTAAATAGAAAAAATTAAGTCAACAATGATCATTAAAAGGAAGTTTTTATATTTTACATTTAAAAGTTGTGAATAATAATATTTATTTATAATTTAATATATTGCAGCATAGAGGAAATAACATTAATCAATGGAAATAGATGATAGCTTTCGTCAGCTCAGAAGCTTCAGTAAAACGTGAGATTGTATTATTTTTGCTTAGGTAATACCATTTAAAATTTTAACTAACAGTTGAAATATTATTAATAATCCTTATATTATGTTAGAATGTGTTTTTGTTAATGAACGTACTAAAATGCTTAAAAGATGATTGGGGCAAAAAGACATGACTATTTCGATACTACCGTTATTTGTAAAAACTTTTTATTTAAAATTCATACTATAATTATAGCGAAAAATCGAATATACCGCATTATATAAAATATATAAAAAATAACTTTAAGTGTTTATTTATTTTTGAAATTATGAAGTCTAAGATTATCATTTTAATACAAGCATTGGAATAACTATGAAATACATATAAATTTTGTTAAATTTAGATTACTTATTTTTTCGTTTGTAATTTTTCAATACTATTACAATTTTTGTTTCTTTAAAAAATTATAATTAAATTTTTTCTGACAAATTTCAAGACAATAAAAGTATGCTTATAAACAGTATTTTTAATATTTACTATTCTAGATTCAATCATGAATAGTATTACTGAAAATGGGTGTTTAAAATATCAATTTCATTTTTTAATCAACAAGAAATTAAAATTAAATATGTATATGAGATAAGTGAAAAAATAATGCTGATGGAAAGCTAATGATTTATGTATTTTTAAAATAATAACTTCAACGATTGAAGTATTTTATTTTTGTAATTTTATAATTCAAGCACAAAAGAACCACAATATAAAGTGACTAAAAAAATCAAAGAACCAGCAATAAGTATTTTCAGTATGCACATATCCTTCATTATTTAGAAACGCTTATAAAACAAATTCTTTTTAATCTATTATAATTAACAGCAATATTGATTAATTAATGTCATTTAATATTTTATATTAAAATTGAAAACAAAATTTTCTAAATAAATGCTGTATCATTTAACATACTTTGTAAAATGGCTTCAAATATTAATTTGTTAATATATATATATATATATTTTTTTATTGTAGATATTAAAAGAAATATTTAATTACTCCAAAAATGGTCACAGTAAGCAGTAATAGAAAAATAAATTAACTATCATTATTAAATATTAAAATTTGTGTTGATTATATTAATTTTCAAATTGTTCAAATACATTACTTACAATTATATATAACTATATAATTTATTACATATATATTACATATATATTTATTAGGAAATGTCCATGCTCAATAGATATTAATTAAATCATTTGTAATTGTATGTTTATAAAGAAAATTTAGACTATTGAATTTATGTTATGTCAAATGTGATCAGAGTTCTTTCTCATATATATTACATGTCTTTTTATACATAACTTCTACCATCTTCAATGCGTAAATAGATATCAGTGTTTACATATCTATTTATATTCTTCAATAGTTAATTCAATTGTAAAAAAGGTATCCATTAAAATATAAAGGTTATAAGAAAAAAGAAAACATTGTTTTTAGAGATAAACAATTATATTATCTATTCGAAATTCAGTAAATATAATATTGTATAAGATTACAATATTATTATACAAAATATAAATTCGTAGTTACTTTTTCGCTCATCGATAATTGAAAATGTGTAAATTTTCTTCCAAAATAATTTATAAATCTAAAACATTGGTAATTTTACTTTTAAACCTTTTGTTATTTAAAAGTCATATAACAATGGATTAATATGTAGAAATATCACACATTTTAATATATCACTGAAAGTATTGATAAATAAATTATGGACAATTACATACTTAAATAAATTGATCGTTTTTCTAATTGCTACAATTCGTAGTTATAATCTGAAAAAACAAATATATTATTATTATACATTTACATAAAGAAATTGACAAATAAAAATATTTTACGAAAGTTTGCATAAGTATTTTATAATTTTTCATTTACTTTAAATGATAAATAATCATTTTTAGAATTAAATACATAGAAGTAAATACATTACTTTTTATATAAACATTAAAAATTTATTTTTGCAAATGGAATAAACAGTCAAAAATTTTCAACTTTTTGAACCAAACAAGTTTCAAAATTATCTACATTTTACCTACTTTCATTAAGAAAATTTTTCTAATAGACTATTCACATACATAATAATTAATAACTAACGAATAGTAAGCAAAATCGAATAAACTTATTTTGCAAAATAACGGTGGTAAAATGTACTGTATAAAATGAAAACATGAATTGCTGGAATTACAATGAACAAAAAATTAAATGTTCTTTTTGTAAATTACTATAAAGAAGATTTATGTGGTCAAGTTGATAAATTTTTAGTTAAGCAAACTTCCTCTTCAGTATAGCATGTAAGTAATAAATTGTATTTGCAGAGTACCCTAACCACAATGTAACTGTAAACTCTGCCAGCAATGAAAAATCAAACAACCATGTAGAACTGTTCTTGTTTAGTAAGATCAACTTCTTTGATTTTCTGTAGTTGTTTCAATGTTAGTAATTTTAATAATTCTGGAAATGTTTATCATATTTAACAATTAGAACAACTGTTAATAGTCTCTGATATCTTGAGATCGATACGTGATCCAGAAGGATTACCGACGTTATGCAAAAATTGACTGTTTAGGCTCACCATAGCAAATCTCAAAAAGATTAATGTATATTTCAGATACAGTTAATGCAAATAGCCGGGCTGCAAAAAACGCAATCTAGTAACAGTCATTAAGACAATGAAAAATCACAAACATTTATAATTTATATATAATGTTTTTATGGACATATATATTTGTGTTTAGTCGCTTTTATTTTTACGATCATTTTGCACAAATATCCACTTTCATTATTATTTTACATTTATATACAGATTCGTTAATCATTGATTATCTTCGTTAACTTACTCCTCGTTTATTGCTCTTGGAGATGTATATTATGTTACTAATTTATAAATAAAATTGTTTAATGCCTTTGCATCATAATTTTGTTTTTTATATTGTTTCTTATTTATTACTGATTGGTTATATTTAAGACTTCGTTATAAATATTGATTATAACTTTGGATTTACCATTATCATTATCAATTTTTCTTTGGTATTGGTGGAGGAATTAACTTTACACCCTCAAAGTAAGAATGGCCTAGAGCTTGTTTAGCTGTGAACCTCATATTTGGATTGTATGTTAACAATTTCTGTAAAACAGAAGCTATATGATATTTTCTAATATGAATTTCAATCATTTTCAAAGTGTTACAACAAATCAAATATTTGATACTAAAACAAAAGTGTGAACTTTATCTTATTAATAAATTCAATAAACTGTATATGTTTTTGGAATCTATTTTTAACTATTTCATTTATATATAGAAAATGTATTCCAAGGGTAAGAATTTATGAAAAAGTAAAATTTTAAAGAACAAGATTTATAATGTTATTATACTATATATTAACTTACTAAAAATAAATCTTTGGCATTATCATCAAACATAGGAACAACTTCGTCTAGATTACGAGCTTCCCATTGAGGAAACATAGATTTGTAATCTTCAAGTTGTGAAACTCCAGGCCAAATTGATTCATCTGGTGTGCCTAATGTACGGAATATCTTAAATAACTGATCTATTTCTGAATCACCAGGAAATAGAGCTCTTTTTGTAGCCTATATAAATAATAAAATTTCGATTAATTTTTATAAAATATGACAACTTATTTTTATATTTTATTTTTATAATTAATTATAATATAATTAATATTAATAAAATATTAATACAAAATTAATATAAATACTGATTAAACTTTACCTTTTGTAAATTAAGTAACTACTGATTTAACAACTTATAATCAATTTTTTTTAATTGGAATTGTAATATATATTCGTATATTTTTTATTTTTTAATTTTTAATATAATAGAATTGTGGAATACTACGATATTAAGCAAACTAAAATAGTTTCTGACTAACTTATATTTATATTTAACATTACCATTTCAGCAAAAATACACCCAAGACTCCATACATCAACCGCTGTAGAGTATAGTTTTGTACCTAAAAGAATTTCAGGTGGTCTGTACCATAGAGTTACTACTTCATGGGTAAATGTTCTTACTGGAACTCCAAAAGATCTTGCTAATCCAAAATCTGCTAATTTTATATACCCTTCATGATCTACTAAGAGATTTTGTGGTTTCAAATCTCTATGCAATATGCGATTTACATGGCAAAAAGCTACAGCTTTTAACAATTGCCATAAATAACTCTACAAAGTATAATTATATAAAAAAGATTATTAAAAGAGAAATATATTTTAATATTTATAAACATTTTATTTAAGTTTTTAATGCTTTATTTTATTAAATTTCATTAAATTATATTCTATTCATTGTTATAACTTTATAAATAAAAAGGTAAAAAAACTTTTTTTTACCTTAACCAGTGGTGGACTCAATCCAGTTTTCATAGAATCTAATAATTTTTTGAGATCTTGTTGTAAGAATTCAAATACCAAGTATAAGTGTTTTTCTGCTTGAACAACATCAAATAATTGAATAACATTTGGATGTGCAAGTTCTTTTAATAATGATATTTCTCTAATTGCTGTGGAAGGTACACCTTCACTTTCTCTATTTTAAATAAGAATAAATAATTTTATTATTGAATAAAAAGAATTAATAATTTCCTCATGAATCTTCTCATATTTATAAAATAAAATGAATTTGAAAAATAAAAACATTTCTTACAAAATTATTTATATTAATTTCAAGTAATATCAATTTTAAATAATAAATTCAAATTAATGTTACATTGTAAAATTCATAATTATTAAATTTGTTCTCATTAAAATATTAAGCGATAATAAATAAACATAAATGAATATTAATATTTTTTATTTTTATCTATTAATTGTTTACAATTTTCACATATTCAAATTGAATTAAACAAACATTCACTTTTAGAATTCATACCAATAAGCCTAAGAATATAAAAATGGCTTAATAGTAAATAAGCAATTAAGCATTAATTTGATATTTGTTAAGCACCAGGTGAGCAGTGTATAATGGAACAAGCTGAATTATGTGGTGCTACGACTAATTCAATAAAACGTGGCCTCTACAAATTCAGCTGGCACCAATATACAAGTTAGCAAGTAGAAAAGCCAAAAGCCCAGACACTAAAAAAGTTCTTTGATTAAAAATGAACTCAGCCAACTTTACCAACGAACTTTGAAGATCACATTCTTATTTTTTGCCTTGCATAGCTATAACAATAGTTTATGCAACGAAGCTGAAGTAGGACATTCAATTAAAAGGTCATTAACAAATACTTTAATAATTTTTATTTAATAACTTTAGTTTAAGTCAAATATATTATTTATAAGTATACTCTGTCACAATAGCAAAACAATTTTAATACGAATGTTATAAAAAATTTTCATGCTTACTTACGTTTCTAAACGAATTTTTTTAAGGGCGACGAGCTTTCCTGTGATTTTGTCTTTGGCTTTATATACAACTCCATACGTCCCTTCACCGATCTTTTCTATTTTGAAAAAATTATCCATAACCTCCAACAAATTTAATAACTTTGCGCCCTTATTCCAAGCTTAATTTCTACCTTTTATATAAATGTCGCTCCACCGAGCACAACGTGAATTTCAGAAAATTTTATTATTGATAATTAACACTTTATTTTTAGGTATAAACCGTATAAATAAACGATAAAAAGTAATACTTAACGATGATTCTCTTACAAGAATTCTACTGTGGCATTTTTTTGTGTATTTCGCGCGCATTTCTCGCGCGTGTACATATGCATATCCCAATGTTTACTAGAGTACTATTCATTCGATTGTAGTTAACGGATAATTAAGAATGCAATACAATTATTCAATTCGGAAAAATATATTTATTTACTGTCATCGGAACTTCTATAGTAATGTTTTAGATTAACTAGTAAATTATATAAAAAACTAAATGAATTATATTTTATATATACGGTATTTTATACATTTTTATCATGTTCCTGGTTTTATGTTGGTAGCGTAGCAGGTGATTACTAGAGGTTGTCAATAACAAAAATGTATAAAAATAACAAGCTCTTTATGCGCGTATAATTATTAAATTACTATTTTGATGCTTTTAAAATGTCTTGGACAATTAAATCGATAATGTGATATTTTATTTAAATTAACAATTTCATAGAAGTAAAATATTTTTATTATTTAATCTTTATATTTTTTGCTCCAAAAACGTTTAGTTATTTTAATATATAATCTAATATAAAAGGTAAGATGATTTATAATATAATATGATGTTTTCTTTATTAACCTGATACTTCTGATATACTACATCATATTTTTAAATTACATGTAGTATATCATGTAATATATTATAGCTTAATATTATATTACATGATTTGAGATATGTATTTTAAATTATTATAAGCATTAGAGGGATAAGGATATCATAAGCATTAGAACAATGACGTCAAATACAAATATAAAATCACAATGCATTAGATATAACTAGAAACTGTTAATAAGAAAGAAAATCTTTACATATGCTACATTTCAATTATATCATTAATAAAAGAAACTAATAATTGTTTATGTTAACTTATATTTAAATTTCGAAAAATAGTTGCACCTCGTTCCAGTTTAAGTTAATCATTACTTCTTTAATAATATTGAATATATATTATCCATTATACTTTTTAATCAAATTATCATCAAACAAATATATTTTGAATTATATTACGATAATATAAAAAAAAAGCCGTTATAAATAATAGATTAAAAGTTATTAAATAAGTAAATAATGTAGATCTTTAAAAACGAATAAAGATTTTTTAGAAATTCTTTGTTTAAATTCATCCAAATTCTTAGATATGTTTAGAATGCAGCTTGCATATGATGTAATAATGAGAACTGCATATTGTTATTTATAATAAAACCAGATTCATTTTTAAGAAATAATTAATGTATGCTAGTTATATTTCAAACATAAAAGTATGAACAATATTTTCATATACTTAAATTTCTAGGTGTTATTTTTAATATTTGGCAAGTATTTTTGAGGATAACGTTAGAGATAATTTTATAGAGAAATTTATAAAAGTTGTTGACTGACTTGAAAATAATTTATAATTTTTAAAATATTCAATTATTTTCTAAATTTAAATATTTTATGTATTCGACTATATGAAGTGCATTCGTATGAAAACATTTACTACGATTTAATAAAATATTAACGAACATAAACCAACTTAAAGTATTATTTTAAATTGTTCATATTCTTGTATATTTCGAAAATTATATAAATTATTTCATGTATAAAATATTTCAATAGACTTATCTATATAAATGTTATTGATATAAAATATATAACAAAATAATTTCTCTTGCTTTCTTGCTGCTTGTTTGATGAAATGTTGATACTGGATACTTTAATCTGTCGAAGATCAGATTTAATATTGTTAATTACTATTGACGTTTTTTTCACGTTCAATTTGTTTCTTTATTTTGCTCTCCCTGACTTTTCAATTATATATACAGAATAAGCTGTATGTTTGCAGCATTTTTTCTGTAATAGAATGGCGTTATTAGTTATAAATTAACCAATATACATCAGTAGTATTTACATAAATTATATAGTACTTAATTAAATTTATAATCATAACAATAAGATTATATTTACTGTATATTATATTATATATAATATAATATAAATATACTATAATATATTGACTTCATAATAAATAGAAATATGTAAATGCTATGATAAGATTATTGAATTATAATATTTTTAATGTATTATATTAAAGAAAACTTAGTTATTAATTCAAAGTATATTCAAAATATGTGCATTTTTTAGGCATTGACTGCACAAAATTAATTTTTATATGCAGTGTATATTTTATTGACAATATCCGGGATTTATTTTTGGCTATTTGCTACGGTATTTCATCGATTTTTAATTTCAATACTGTTATTTTAATAAAGAATAGTTACAAATTGAAAAATTGAAATTGCAGTGTAAACTAATACATTACTTTAAAAATTTGATATATTTTTAGATGTAGCACAATCCATTTTTTTTTATAATTATAATTTATAAAAGGCTCATTATATAAAATAAATTAACTTCAAATTTTAATTATATTAGAGTATAGTTTTTATATTTGAGTGATTGTCTGTTTGATACAATTTTTAAGCTTGCAAAGTAAATAATTATTACTCAACTATATTCATAAAAATTTTAATTAATAGATTACAGTATCATCAACAATGGAATCCAAAGTTTTGTATTGAAATCCTAATTAATAAAATCTACATCTTTTAAAAATGATATGTATATACTGTATAACATTTATATAAACAAAATATCACATACAGTTTAACATTTTTAAATCCTGAAAAGAAGGTATTGAAATAAAAACTTGAATTAGATAATTATATTTAGAGCTAATATCTCCTAAAAAACCAAGTTTGTATTAAATAATATAGACTTACAGAATTTTCAACATAAAATTAGAAACAAGTTTTTCTATTTTATTATTCACCTTACGAGTATGAAAATTTATAATTTTATACAATAATGAATAATAAATTTAAGATCAAATATGTTAGAATTTTCTGATGATGATTGAAATAACTGTTGATAGTGCAGTTAAAGGAATATGGATAAAAAGTTTTGTAGTTGCAAATATCTAAATTGTACTGATTTTACATAAATATGTACTACCAATTTAAAGCATATGTAATAGTATTCACAAGTAAGCTAACTTAGATTATAATAAAATATATTTTTCTTCAATTTGTATAAAATAAAATCATGTATAATTTGTAAGGTTGTCAATTGCAAAAGATAGTTTTGTTTTTACATAACTGTTAAAGTTATAAACGAATTCAAAGAAGGCAGGAAACAAGTATCTTTCACTTTTCAAATATTTTGGAAATATTTTTAGACAAAAAGATTTTATTCATTTAACTTTTAAATAATTATTTATTTTTAAGAGTTATATGATTTCATTTAGTTATATATTTACTTAGAAGTAATTTGAAAAGTAGATTTAGGAAAAATAGTAAATTTCAATGATATGATCAAGTTAAAATTTTTAATTTTTCAAAGCAACATATGTATGCATATAATATACACGATTTAACTACAATAGCAGAAAATTAGATATTTTTTTTCTATTTTTCTTATTAGAAATAATACATTAATTATATACAAATCACAAATTGTTCATCATACAAGTATTTAATTATATTGATACTTAATTAGTTCTATTGACAGTTGCCTGGATGTAACGTTCAAATGATTAATTTGAGTACAAAATTATTTATTTGATATGTATACACTGTCAATGTCATCAAATGCTTAGTTATATTGCATACAAAATTTATAAATTCACGACAACTAAAGAATAAAATTATATACGTTTAAATATCATACAAACGCTAAATATTTCAATTAAGTCAAAATAATAACTTATTGCATATTAAGTTGATAGCTAGCTCAATGAATAATTTTCAATGATTATAAATTGGGCAATATATATTTAGTTAACTTATTAGCAGTTATTATTATTAGTAAAATATATATCTCTATTAATTTCAAATAAAATTTTGATAATTTTAATATAAAAATATTGCTATTAATTGATATAATTAGATTTATAATTAAAATGTATGAGAAAGATTAAATTACAAAGCATTGTGTAGAGAGTATCAATTGATATTATGCAGTTTTATCATCCTTTAAAAATATCGATCGTATAATTATTATAATTTTTATTTTTTCCCTTAAATCCTAAAGTATTTGTAGTAATGGCTTCATAGTAAATTTGAACTAAGAAGTAGTGATCGACTTAGACGAATGACATCTACAAAGTCAGCAAGATGTAGTAAATATGTAAAAAAAATAGAGTAGAATTAGTTTTTATCTTATTAATTATTAATAAAAAAATTGATATTTTGAGTGTAAAGTGTATATTTAAAATGTTATTGCAATTCGAAAGTTAAAGAAGTAAGTACTACGAAAATATCAATTATTATGTCAATTATTTATAACAATTGTTATTTAAATAAACTATGTGGTTCTATTATTTAAACAATATCGATGATATAACCAATTAGCTATTCAATTAAATTTTGAAATATGATGAAACATCCACTAATTATAATAGAAGCAAATAAAATATGCAAACGCATATTTTTCCAGATATGACCATAATCTTGCTAATACAATACATTTTATTTGCATTTTTAATATTCATTCTGTAATTTTATGTATTCAAGCTCAGTGGGGACGTATAAAAAAGCGTTCAACGCATTTGGTAGCCAGACGTTTCATTAATAGAGCCACAGCGTATGCTTTGACCATGATTATAATACAGATTTACGTTAATTATACAGTTTCCACCTTGCCCTTTCGACGTGACACTCGAGTCTCGTTGTTCTGTCTCTCGGTGAAGGATGTCTCCTCGGAGTATTTTCTTATTAGGATCTCGGGCTCCTCGGGCGACGAAGCTGCCAGGGTACCAACCTCTACGTGTTCAGCCACGCATACGGGCGTCGTGGTTAAAGAGCTTTTGCGCAATCGCATGTCCTCAAGGGGTATCTCCTCGCTTCTCGGTCGTGGCATCTTTGGCGAGCTGTCGCGTATCCTAATGCTAGCCTCTTGGCATTTAACGCTCGGGCTACCTTCTAGGCGCTTAGTGCCCGATTTGATAAGGCTATCACGGCGCATCTGGGCAGCGAAGCCCGGTACCTTATTCACAGTGAACATCCGCTGCTGATCTTTCGGTCTTTGACCTCGACCGACCATACCTGTAAGCAAGATATTTTATGAATACGAAACTGTTTATTTAAGGATGCACTTCTCATTATATGTTTCTTTATAGCAATGGCATAATAATATTCAAGAAAATTAAATCTAATTTAACCAAGTCCAAATATTATAAGATCAATATATATTTTATTTAAATGTTAATATTTTTTAATACTTTTTTCAATATTATTAAAGGTATTTTTAATGTGACAAAACAAAAATGAAAGGACAAAAATGAAACGAAGGAAAATAAAAACGTTTTCGGTTAACAAATGTAATACATTGAAAGAATTTTATATTATAAGTATTAAAGTAATTAGCAATATTGTTTACGGTCATTACGGAATCCCATTAAAGCATAATTTGGAGGTGTTGAGCAGTGAGGAGTAGCTGTCGGAATATCAAGCAATCTAGCTATTTGATTCATCTTTTTTTGTCTTGCTTTTATTCTTCCTTTTGTTAATCTGTAAATATACCAACTGAATTATATAGAAAATATGGAAATAATAATTAATTTCATTAATAATTCTACTTAGTTTAATAATCATAATTTATAACATATTGAAGTTCATAGATAAAGTACGTAATTACAAATCAAGTATAGGTAAAGACTGAACTCATGAAAAGTTTACAGAAGTGAAAATTCAAAATATTCTCACGAATTTTTAATGAATACCGGTTATAAAATGCGTTTAAAAATATTTAAATTATTAAATAAGATTTAATTAGATAGATTTAAATTTGATTTTAAATTAAAATTTTTATTTAAAATATTATTTTCAAATAACATATTAGCTAAGCTTGTATTTATTAAATTAATTGAAATTAAAATTTGTTTTAAAAAATACTCATGACTTTGAATTATTTTTATTTTAAAAAATGAAAAGCTCAAATAATTTTAGATGTTTATAAAAATAGTAAATACAAGATCTAGAAAAATGAATTTTACCTTTGTTTTGCTGCCATACAACGAATATGATCTTCAAATATAAATTTTGCAGAAAGTAAAGGTATTCTATTACTTGTGCTACAGCTCAATGGTTTATGAATAGTTAAATGTAGACACCGAGAATCATCTTTATCACCGGCAACTTCGATGTCTTGCAGAAAACCAACAAATTTCGCTACTCCCCAGCCAAGTTTTCGTGTATCCGGTTCGACGAGAATTAATTGTATACAGTCAATAACTAAAAACCTTTTTATTTTTTGCCCATCTTTCCATACAACTCTACATGCAATAAGGTCACTATTATCTGAAAAACCAATATTACCATCGATTTAGTTAAATAAATTAAAAAATATATTATTTATGCATACACGATTTCAATACATACTTAAATCAAGAACATTATTAACTTGAACACAACTACTGGGATTTGTTAAAGGTAACTGAGTTTCGATTTCGTTATTCAATGTTAGAGATAGCTCTCGTATAAAAAAGAATACTCTAATAGCCCGGCGAGCTCTTTCAACCTGAATAAAATGTTTAAACATTTGTTAGATATTTACAAGTGATTTAAAATAAAAAAAAATATGTTAGACACTATCATACATATACGTTTATTAATACTAAAATCACTTTGACTTATAAATATATATTAAATGTGATTTGCTTTTAAGGAAATTAAAATAGTAGAAAGAAAATTACTTCTCCACAAGGAAGCCTTTTACTGAATTCAATGCCTGTCATTGGTGTTCCAGTAGGAGGCAGTAAAATATTGCTATCCATCATAAGCCATTCTACTTTTAATGGCTTCTTTTGTATTTCACTATATTCATCTTCAAACATATCCAAAAAAATATCTTCACCCTGTAAATAAACATTTTTGTAAATTAATATTAATCGAAATATAACATTAATGTGTTTTAAAACATGCAACATGCATTTAAAAATTTAGTAATCCCAATTTTCCATTTTTTGACCTTATAAAAATTTCGAAGAAGTGTAGTACTCTGTTCCTTTGCTGCTTCTACTGCTGCTAAATGGTAATCTTGTAACAACACTTCATTTTCGGAAATCACTAATTGTATTAGTAATTTTGTTGCTAATTCCAATGTGACAAGTCGTACTTTTGCATCTAATAAAAAAAAAAAAAATAATAAAAAAAATTAATTTCATACACCTTCCACAATGCTAAAAGGAATAAATCTTACTAATTTGACAACTCAATGTTATAATATGGATGATTCGGTTGATCAAAGTTTCGTTGTAAAGATTTTTTATAGAAACTTTTAAAGGAGCTAAAACTAGATCCATAGTTTCTGGATCGATACCCTAAAAAATAAGTTTATACAGTTAAGATATAAAATGTATTAAAAAGTCAATTATATTTATTAAAAAGTTTATTAATTATAATTAATTAACTATAATTACTATTATAGTTATGCTTATAATTAATTAAGATAAAACATAAATAAAAAATTAAAAATGTATAAAATTAAAAATTAGTTAATACTTTAAAATTGTTATTATTCTATGCATTAATAATTATTATAACTTTAAAAAATAAATAGGAATTAATAATAAGGAATTAGTCACCTGATTATTGGCTAGAGCATATAAAAGACATAAAGCAAATAGAGCAGCATAATCATTTTCTGTGCAATACAATGAATTTAAAATAGTTTCAAGAAAAGGTTTGTTTGATAAAGAATCTTGTTCTATTGTATTTCCTGTTGCTTCTGAAGTTAGAGGATTTTCAAGAGCTAATCTCTGTTCTTTTTCTTCATCAGTCACACTTAAATATTTAATTTCTTCTATTGTTTCATTTGCAACATCAACTTTGTCAAATTCAGTTTTTACAGAATTAGATTCAGTTATATATGTACTTGATTTAATTGATTTATCTTTTTCCATACTATACCAATTTTTTTTGTCTTTATCTACAGCTTCATTATTTACTAGTTCATTATTTTTTAATTCTTTTCTCTTTGATATTATTTTTTCTTCACTTTTCTCTGCAACATTTTCTAATTTTGATGATTCATTTAAATTTTCTAGTGACTTATCTAAGCTTTCTTTAGGTGGTGAAAAAGCAACGGTTGTATTTGAAATTATATCTTCATATTGTTTTAAAACTTGACTAGCACCATTTTTAATAATGTCTATATTTGATTTTAGAATCACTGCTGCGAGAGTTCTGACTAATGGACCATGAGGAACAATTAAAAATACTTGAGATAGTAGGAAAAGAGCTACTACTGTGCTAACATATTTGCGTTCTTCCTATGAAAAATAAAAACTATTACAATATGATTTTATTAATTATTCGAACTTATAGATTAATATAATTATTTTAAAAAGAATATAAGTATTTTTTATTACATAATATGTTAAAACATATTAAGGCTAATATATATTCTATATAATTACTTGATTCTGGCACAATAAATCTTTTCTTCTTGTCAATGAATACACATATAAAGGAACTAAAAGTTTGTGCAATAAATGTTCTGATAAAACTTTATTTAAATCTTCTATATTCAGGCAAAGAATATCATTTAAATAATGTAAATGATCCAAATGTTCTGCTACCAAGTCTGATAATCTATTTTGACTTTGATGACTAAAAAATCAAGTCATTATTGTAATTAAAATTGTATTTTACTATTTTTTTTATTCAATACTATAAACTTCATATTATAAAAAATATTATAATAAAAAATAATATTATAACAATTCAACATTATAAAAAATTTCTATTTTTACTTTATAAATAAAATACAATACTGCAGTGTCTAATAAAAATACTCTAAAATACTTTAAAAAAATTGTTTTTATTTAATACTTACTCTGCATCATTTCTAACACATATATCTAGTTCAATAATATGATTTCCAATAAACCAAACTAGATTACTGAAATATGGAGCAGCAGTTCTGTCTCGAATAAATGTGAGCATAGATGCATCTTCTACACGATAAACATTTAATGTTAGTGTTCTTACAGCAATACGAACCATGCCCTCAGAATGATTAAAAAATTTAATTGCCTCAGTGTAGAGAGGGAAATCATTTGTATGCTAAATAAAAAATTAAATCGATAATTATTTCTATACATACAGATATTTAATACTTAAAAATTGAAGAATGCAACATAAAAAATGAAAAACTGCAAATAAATTATATCAAGCATAATAAAACAAAATGGAACATACTAACATGCTCATGATACTTATACAAATATTTACAAATCAAATTAAAAACATGCAAATGTGAAAAATTTATGCATTAAAATATAAATGAAACATTCAGTATAATATACCTCGTTTACCTCATTATAGAAAAAATGAATTGTATGAGCATTCAGCTTCAAACTTAATGTTTTTAAAAAACTTATATAGTAAGCCATGACTTCTTCATCACTAAAATCAAATTTGTGCACTATTATACTATTCACATGATTATTACTTAATAGATAGTCTGAAACATAAAAAATCATTTCAGTAACGTTTATTGATTTTGTTATTTTATAATCGATTTACATACATAATGAGGTTTCATTACGAATATTTTCAAATAAGATATTAAGCGTTTGAAGTAATTGAACACATACATAACTTCCACATTTTTGTTTCATTATTCTTAAAAAAAAGGATAACATATTTTTCTCAAGAAAAAAGCTGCAAATTTCAAATATAGTAAAATTACTAAAATATTCTTAGAAAAATATTAACATCCATAAGTATAAATTTATGATAATTAGCAATATATACATATAAAAATTAATACTAATTAAAATATTGTTATAATTATTTATTTTTTGTTTTTATTAATTTTAAATAATTTTGCTGTTTATACAGAATTTTTATGAGAAAATTGTTGTTTCTTACAACACATACCATACCTAGTAAAATTATTTTTTCATTTTTGAACTTTTATAATAGAAACTATAAAAATATAAATTTTTTAAATAACAAACTCATCTTTATTGAATTTATAAATAAATTGTACATTAAAACATTAATTTTTCTCACTCAAAAACACTGCTGTCATTTTGGTCACCCCAAATTAATATTTCTGCAATAGATCTTAAAGTTTCAACCAATAAACCTCTGTTATTCTCTGAAACTGTTTGATTTTTTGACAAAACATTGTACAGATATCTGTAAGAAACAATACATAGAAAAATTGATTTTAAAATTGAAAATATCATTATTTTGTTAATTAGAAGAATAAATCATATTGTTAAACAAAAAAATATGTATGATTCAATAAATATTTTAATTAAAAATTTTATCTAAGAGTCATTATTATTAATAACAAATACTTACAAAATTTAGAAATATAAAGTTATTATCTTAAACACAATTTTTTAATAATTATTATATAATACAAATATTAACTTAAATAACTAATTGATAATAAAAATAATTATTAATTACTTTGTTGGTTGCATTTAGCATAAAGAGTTAATGAATTATAAATAAACCTTAACTTTTTCAATTAATTAGTAATAAAGTAAAAATTTTGAAGATCTACAATTCTTTTATATACATACTTAAGATGTTCCAAAGAATGGGGATTTTTTGGCTTCCAAAGTCCACCTCCAAACCAGCTGCGACTACGAAACATTTTCAGTTGGTTGTTCTTAAAGATCGAACTTATTAAAATCCATAATTTATTCCATTTAAAATTCTTATTTACTACAATAATAAATGATACTTAGGTTAAAATTGTCCCAGCTGATTTTTAATTAAGTTTTATTACTGAAGAACAGCAGAAATTCGTGTCATCTTGACCACCTCATTTTTCTGGATTAAGAATAAATTTGTTCATTGAATTATTGTGAGCGCTATTATCGGTACATTAAAACGGAAAATAAAATAGACACTGTATCCATTGCAAGCTATTTAATGCAAACTATTTGATACTTCCACTTACTATTTATACATACGTGTCACTACACTTATGCCAATGTACATCACACTGCGTATATAAATAAAAAAAAAGATTAGGTTAGGTCACTTCATAAGGTTAAATTTGATTTATATTTGTTAAACATAATCCACGTTTGTATCCTTGTTGGTTATTTCGTGAATCATTGGGGATCGTTACAATAATAAATATGATGTATCAAATCAATTTTGTAATTACAATACGAAGTATCCCAAAATCTGATAAAGTCTAAAACTTGGTTTTTCGTAAATCTGAATAGGCATTGAATTTTCAATGAAAAATAATGTATTAATGAATTTTTTAATAAGTACCATCTTTCATTTGTTTATTATTAGGAGATATTCACAATATTCTTGCTGTATATGTATTCCATATAATGAAATGTATGGAATGTAATAGAAAATCTATTATTTAAAATGTGTAAATGTCTAATTATAACATTATTTATTGCTTAAATGTTTAGATAAATTATTTGTTTTTTGATAAATTTCTGTGATACCAAAAATTTGAAAACATGAGAGTATTAGAGCTCTATAGTGGAATTGGTGGAATGCATTATGCTTTACGTGGTAAGAATTTAGAAATATTAATTATATTTTTTTATGAATCGAATATATTTAGTTTGAATAAAATTAAGTATTCTAAATTTTTTAAATATAAAGTATGTATAATAGGCTTGTGTGCAAAATTGTTTTAATTATCGTATATTATGCTAATTAAATTTTTTATCTTCCAGAGAGTACAGTTCAAGGTATTGTTGTGACATCGATAGATATAAATACTACTGCTAATAATGTCTACAAGCATAATTTCTCAAAAACAAAAAATATCAGTTGTAATATCGAATCTTTTAATATAAGTGAAATTATAAGATTGAATATTGACTGTATTCTTATGAGCCCACCTTGTCAACCTTTTACAAGAGTTGGTTTAAAAAAAGATACAGTTGATAAAAGGTGTTCCTCATTATTATATGTACTAAAACTTATTCCTCAAATTAAAACTTTAAAATACATTCTTTTGGAAAATGTGAAAGGATTTGAATATTCTCATGCAAGAAATGAAGTTATATCCAGTTTAAATAAGTCAGAATTTAACTATAGAGAATTTATACTTAGTCCATGTCAATTTGGCATTCCAAATTCAAGGCATAGGTACTACTTGATTGCAAAGAAAAAAGGATTAAAATTTATTTTTAATGATTCTAGCTTATTAACTTCTATTTCAGAAGAAATTTTAGAATTTTTACCAGAGAAAATATATAAATTATTACCAGTTGAAAATAGAACATTGAACTCCAGAAATAAAATACCATGTTTTAAGATTAAACATATTTTAGAAGAAGATGTTGATACACAGTACTTGATTCCTAAAAATATTCTATTAAAGCGAGGCAGTATTTTAGATGTAAGAACTCCAGAGTCAAATGGATCTTGTTGTTTTACAAAAGCTTATAGTCATTATGTCGAAGGTACAGGTTCTGTAATATCTCTGTCTCCAAACTTTGAAATTTTAAAAGAATTTGGTAAAAATGTAGAAATAGTTGAAGATAAGGCAAAAGCTTTAATTGATTTAAAATTACGATACTTTACACCTAAAGAAATATCTAGACTTATGTGTTTTCCAGAAGATTTTGAATTTCCAAATGATTTATCCAATAAACAAAAATATAGATTGTTAGGTAATTCGATAAATGTTTTTGTGGTTAGTCAATTAATATATTTATTATATTATGAAGGTTTTGTATAATTAACTTAATATTTAATTACTAAAGCACTTTTTATAAGCTGTTTGTAAAATTAAAATAAAATACAATCAACTTTTTTATAAAATCTTATTTAATATTTGTTTTTTGTCTAGATCAAATATTATTGTTTATAATATAAATAAATATTAAAAAAATATATATATACACAAATATATAGATTACAGAAATTACTAATACTAAATTACTTTCAGAAAAGTTAAGATATAATTCAAATAATAAGTTTACATAGTTTCAAGTTCTGGAGGAATATGAATTTTTTTTTCAACAGCAAATTTTTTTAGAGCCATATATTTTGAATGCCAAGATTCTATTTCATCTCTCATTCTATTATTATCATCTTGCATAGCTTCCATATCCCTATATTCTTGGGTTTTTTCTGATTCTAATTCATCCTTCTGTTCAATTCGCTTTATCCGACAACTTGCAGCATAACCACGATTCTTGAGTGTACGTCGTCTTTGTTTCATACGTACAATTTCTTCTCGAGATAAACTGCGAAGTTTGAGTTGTCTATTTAGGTCTCTTACTGAAATTGTAACAAGTTCATCATCGCTTATATCTAAACAAGGTCCTGGAGATAAAGGATCCTGTAATTAGAAAAGTGAGTTTATAATAAATTAAACAATAATAGTGATTATTTTATAAAAGAATGTGGCTAGTTATATATTATATAACTAATTATATAACAAATAGTCAAAAAAAGATTAAAAAAAATTTTTTCATGCATTCAGGTAATATATTGGCGATGCAGTATTGCTTCTGAATATTTATTATATTCAACTTGTATTAATAAATTGGAAACATTAATAAATTACAAATATCCGAGTTTAACAAAATATAAAATTTACCATTTTCATAGATCTTTTTCCATCCATAACTTCATTACCCAGAAGAGTTCGACGCTACAGAAGCTGAGCTTGGATTGTTTGTTTCTGCGTTTTATGCTTTCCAAATAAATTTGCTTAGTCATGTTTGAATCTCGTTACTGTTCGCCCGATCCTTCACTCGCTCATTCACCATTAAGGTTAGGTATTAACATTTCGAAAAACATTGTGTATTGAAGTAAATTTTTTAAATGTCTCTTTAATGATTTCCTTATATAAAATTTAATAGAATTAATTGTATTATTATAAACGTATTGTTATTTAAAAATAATATTTTACTTTAAAATATACAATACAATAAATTAAAGTAATTAACATTTATTATAGACTAGGCAGGCGTAAGGATACATATCGGATGTATTTAAGCATTCCAGGGCAAATATATATGTATATATATATATATATATATATATATATATATATATGCGTATTCCTATTTTTAATGTGTTCCTTTTATCAACTGTGCATAGATTGGAATTTATTTTTAAGAACGCGATATAATATGCATATGTAAATTAATAAAAAACATGGACATTTTAGACACGATAAAAAATAATTGTTACCGTTTGCGTAAATTTGACCTATATTTCTATATTTTACGATAATATTATTTACTTGTAATCTTTAATCTATTGATATCTTTAATAATCTAAATATAGACTTTTAGTTTAAAGTAGTTCTTATTAATGATTTTTAATTATTGTCATTTTTTTATTGTAAATAGAATAAAAATCGATGATCGTATTAGAGCTAGAGCCTTATATGCTCAATAGCAATAAAAATTAAAAGAATTTTATATTAGTTATATTTTTGCATTTACTTCTTAAAACACGATTTACATAATCCCTATAACATCGTAATATTAAAGTCAAATTATAAATAGTTCAATAGTAAATTATTACATGAGTATGCCCTTTATATTTATACATTCATTTTCGAGAAATCTTTCACAAATTTAATATAAAAATTACACATAATGCGTATCACTAAATACTTATTTTTATTTTTGAAAATATTAACAACATATATATATATGTAAAAAAATTCCATTGAAACTCTAATAGCTACATTTATATTATAATTAAATATAAAGAAGTTTCATTTAAATTAATTTTATTTTTATATAAAATAACTTGCATTATGAATGAATATATATTCATCGAAAATTAGAATTTATAAATACTTACATTAAAAATCAATATTTAACAGAAATATACTTAAATATCTGGATCGATCGTTTTCGTTCAAATATAAATGGGTTTCTATAAATATTAAATATTAAAAAATATAAATTAATTTATCTATTATTTTTGTAACTTATTATTAAATATTTAATGTAAATAATTGTTTACAAATTAAATTGTCTATTATTTCAAATTACATAGTTTTATTATTAAAAATGCACATTATTCATAAAAAGAGAATTAAAAAATTTAAACTAATCATCATACGTTAAACTAATACGTTTAACATTGAAATTAGGGAAGTCAAACCTTCTTTGATTTTCTTACAAATTTAAAAATATATCGATGTCATAAATAGGAAAATAACATTCAATTTAAACGTGGTTGTAAGAGGTGATAAAAGTAAGTAAATTTCTTGTAGAATATATATTGATGAATTAATTAAAAATAACAATGTTTGCAGAAAATACGTTAATGATAATTTAAACTGCAACAAGTTCATTCCAAATACTCAAAATCTAAAAGAAATATTTCAATCAAATTACCTCAATTTTTGCGGTAGTAAAATCAAAAAGAATATAATCCAGTTTTATAATGTTGATTTTATATTTTATTTTTTATATAATGAATTTTATAATACGTATTCTTTGACAATATGTTACAAGAATAATTTTAGAAATATAAACAATCAAAATATATTCTACTAGTCATAAATAAATTAATCACATTGAATAATTATTATTAGAATGCATTAGTTTTATTTTGCTCAATTATAATACATTTTAAAATAAAAATATTTACGAAGCCCACTTTATAATTTTATCTTAATTTTCAATTTTAATTGTTTTATGTGCAATTATGAATCATAAATTTTGGAATTCTAAAGTAATTATTTAGTTATTAATTTTTATATCAAATATAAAATTAATTAATATAACACATCATAATATCAATGGTTTAATTAAAAATTAGGAACTACTGAAAATATGAATTTGATAAATAAAATTAAAAATACTATTTTGCAATACCCAATAATATCAGAAATGATTTCATGCAATTTTCTGGTACATTTAATTTCATTTTACGTGCAAAAATGAATTTAGATAAAAATTTATAAAGGATGATTTATAAATTTTGCACATAAATACTAAAATATTAAAGTCCTAAAATACATTATAAATGAAAATATATTGTATTTATTATAAAATCCAAACAAATTATTTATATGATGAAATATTTTATTATTGTGTTGTATGTAATAAATTTAATTTTATAACTCCACTTTCCCTTTAATTGAACACTTGTATACATCATTTTCTATCTATAAATTCCTATAAATTTATTTATTGGAATTTTATTTTTGAATTATTAATTACAGTAAGCAATTATATTTTAGAATTTTATAAATCTTCTATTTAATAACTGTATATATTATGTTTATGATTTTAATAATTATTATTTATAGTAATTGTCTATCTAAATATTAGGTTTTTTGAAAAATTGTTCCTTGAATAATCGATTCAAGATTTATCATTTCTCCGTACCTCAATTAACTAAATAATGCTCTTTGTAATTTGTTATTATTTAAATAAGAACATTGTCATAAAACAAAAAATATGAATATTTTACATTGGTTAATTTAAATTTAAATCAACCAGTTTTATAATATAGTATATTTCAAGGAATAATAGAAATTTTAAACTAAAATTTTAATATTTATATAAAAAAGTATAAGGTTTATTTTAATAATTTTAAAAAGTAGCATTAAAATAAATTGTATTAATTCATTATTTTTAGTATGGACTATGAATTTTGAACATATCTTATTTGTATCATAACTGACCGCTGATATAACATGTATTTTGGTGATATTACTAATTGAATAATTTATTTTAGATTATTTATTATTTCTTAACGAAAATACTTGTATGAAATAAAAATATATCAATATATACAAATTTACCGTTTCTTTATGTGACGCATGCGCTTTTGATTTATAAAATTTTTCCAGCTCAATCATCGAGGTTAGGTATTTTGTATTATCCTAGTTTATTTATGTACGTTATCTCAATATAATTTTTTATATTAATAATTAAATTTAAGTATATAATACTTCAAAAGAACACATAATTCACATTTAAAACGAACCATTCCTAAGTTTTTTCTATTAAGTTTCGGATTTAAGAATTAATTTTAAAAGTTAATTATACAATATTGTCCTAAATTTATCTTATGAAAATATAAATTAAATTATATAGTTTCTTTTTTTATAATTTCAGCATTAGTTGTAAGATTTTTAGAATTTAAATATATATATAACAATTGCATTGGATAAGTGGATTTAAAATAAAACAATATTATAATTGTGTTTTGGTTGTGAATTTAAAATTAAGTGATTATTGTACATATGCTTGTTATTAGTTTAATTATAAACTCAAAATTAATTTTATTACCAAAAACTTTTTTTAACTATTTTCATTATTCTGGATTATTTTATATAATTTGATTTTGAAATTATGTAATTCTTTTTTATTTGCAACTTAAGTCATAAAATACTAATAGTAATATTGATATGCTATCATGCTTAAAAAATAATAGAAAGTGATGTTATTATATAATAGTTTAGCTTTTACCACAATTTTTAGGCTGGGCTGTTTATTTAATCATAAAAATTTGTAATTTTTGTAATCTAGAGTTTGTTCGATTGCATAAACAGTATAGGATAAAAATATATTTTAATTAAATTTATTTATGTAATTATTTTTTTTTTTAAATAATTATTAAGTGTGGGCTTACCTTTTAATTTATCTTTTAAGATACTTTCTTTTTATGATATAATATATTTTTATTTAATTTTATGAATATTGAAGTATATATTAAAATTTTTTAATAATACAAATTTTTTTTATTATTGAAATGTTTTTCCATTAGAAATATTAAATTGTTCTATAAATAGTTGAATAAAGAGTTATTTCTATTTTTAACAATTTTTACATTTTTGTATTTGTCTACAATATATCAATAATAAATTAATATTAACATTTATTTATATGTATAAAATTTGTTGTAGAATATGATTATTTATTATTGAAAATAACAACACAAAAATTATTATATGTAGTTATTATTAAATAGTTTTTTAATAATATATTTTGATTGTAAATATTTTAGTTTTTTTGCCAAATAAATATTAATCTTTTTAATCTATTTCTATAACAATACATATAATTTTAATAATATATAATGTACAAATTAGTAAAAGTAATTATTGATTACGTAATAAAAAGTTAAAACATTAAATATTAAAATACATTGTTTTATCCTGTTAATAGTTTGAGCCATTTTCTATTAAACAAAATATATTTATGAATAATTATTCAATTAATGATAGCCAGTGTTTGAATCAATGTTAAATCCACAAATCTAGTTATAGTGAGAAACAAGACAATTTAATGAATTATTTAAAAATATGTAATTAAAATATCTAATAAAATATTATTAATTTGGGTTTTGTAATAATTCATTTTGTATGGAAATAAATTATGAAATTTTTTATAATATTGCAGAAAACTAAACATTATATCCCTTTCTAACATTGTTTTTGTGTTAGAATGCTTCGTAGAACGGTCTAATTATAATTATGTATAATAATTAAATTTGGAATAAAACGGATCGTTTCAATAGCGATTCAATTTAATATTGTATTAAAGCTTCATTGTTTGACCATTACCATAATGAATTTTTAATGCTTAAAAAGTAAATCTTATTTTTTCGATTTGTTGCTTAACAAGTAATAAACCGAGTCATTTGGATATTTATAAGCTGTGTACTACGTCATTGATGAAATTCTAAGTTTTTCTTTGTAAGGTCACACACAACGTAATTTAACTAGAGCGATCTTTAGGTTTATGACATAGATATCGAATATTAGTTAACAGTATATCTACCTTGACTATGTGTTATCAGCCATTTCATATACATAAAATGATATGCAACTAAACACAAGATAGTTTTGTGAAATTATAGAAGAAAACTTGCCTGTAATGCTTGTACCAGAAAAATTTGAGAAGGTGTATCCAAGATAAATATAAATGAGTTTTACAATATCCTAACAATATTTTCTGGTTGTTAACATTATTTGTCTTGAACTTTAAATTTGTACATTAAGATTGCTATTATCTTGCGTCCACTTTAATCAGGATTTATGAACTTACTGTGCTCACTTTTATTTAACTTTTGCTTAGCTAACAAACATATTCTAATATTAACTTATGTTTTAAAAGAAAATTTAGTTATAATTTAATGAAATGTATTAAAACCATTCATTTTTTGAGTGATTCATTAGTAATTTTAGTTTATATAATAGTAAGTAAATTTTTTTCGAGATAAAATAAATCTATAAAAATTTTACATATGTTTAATACTTTATTACATGTGAAGTTTATACAAAATTTTATATAAAAAATTGTAATAAAATTATTAAAATTAATTTAATTGTAAAAACATGAAATAAATTAATGTAATTATTATGTTTTAGTTAAACATTTAGTTAAATTATATATTAGTTAAAATCATATGTAAATATACATGTAATCTACTGCTTAACATTTATTTATTCTTCATATTAATAATAATAATTAATGAAAATCAAATACATAAAATATAAAATTTGAACTTTCAAATAATTATTAAGTACACTCATGAATGGTTTGTTTTATGTGGAGTCTTCTTCATAGTATATAAATAAATCTCATCTTTTTTTTTTTAGAAATATCAGATTGTGAATAAATAGTAAATCCAGAAATTAGTTTAACATTCAATAGATTTTGTTTGAATTAAAGAGCATTTGTATTGATTGATTAAATTAACTGATCACAATGCAAAAAAGGGTCTTTCAAAAATATTTAATACTTTGCTTAACATTTTTATGTCTAAGTGATCTGAGTGCTTTAAAGAGTAAAAATAAAAATAAATCGAAATGTGTACTACCACGAAATCTTGCCAGAGAAATTGATTCTTACAAACCGATTTTAAAAGATATTAAAAATATGACGACTAATGGATTTTTCCATGGTCTTACATTCAATGAATTAGCCACTTTCGTAAATAAATTTAGCTCAAGGATATCTGGTTCGAAAACTTTAGAACGTTCTATTGATTATATGTTGGAAAAATCAAAAAATATGAGTTTTGACAATGTTCATGGAGAAGAAGTAATGGTTCCACGCTGGATTAGGTAAGCATTGCTCAGATTATAAAACGTCTTTTAAAATTTAATTACGAATATTATCTATTATTAATATATTTTATATTTAATATTTTAAAAATATAGATAAATAAATATATATTTATATTTATATATAAATTTTAAATTTCTCATACTTTAAATCTATAACAATATTCTATGATTTTTATTTTACATGACTAGATTGTAAACGGCAAAGTCAAGGCAATTATTAAATTTTTAAAATCTTGGTTAAATTAGTTTAAATCGCAGTTTTCAATCATTATATCAGCAATAAATATAAATTAATTCATTTTGTAGGGGTAAAGAATCTGTCAAATTATTGAAACCTTTGGTTAAGAATATTCCAATGCTTGGATTAGGTTATAGTGTAGGAACACCTCAGAAAGGAATAACGGCTAAGGCAGTTGTTGTGAGAAGCTTTTCAGATTTGATATTACGGGCTAATGAAGTGAGTATTAAAATAGTAATGATTTAGTCTTGTGTAAGAACCGATTTTCTAAAATTTATTTATATTTTATTCAATTTATAAAAAAGATACGAAATTTTTATATGAATAGTAATATAAGTGACAAATCTTTACGTGGTGTAGTCTTTATTATTATTGAAATTTTATTTTAAGATATTATTCAGAATATTTTTGTAAAAGTGCAGAAAATTTTTCTATTCAAATTGTTAAAATAATTTAATTCAATGTAATTTCATTCAATGTATAAGAAATAGATGTAATTCCTAATTTATTTCTAATTCATTAATTTTACAACTTATGTAACTATATATTAACAGAAAAATTAATTTAATATTCTATTAATATTGTTTCACCAATAAATGAGTGTATAAAATATTAAAAATTCCTATTTTTATACGAAAGCAGCAGTTTAATTTTATACATTTTTGATAATTTATTCATTTAAGTAGACTATTATATTAAGATTCCAGGGCGGATAGTTGTGTTTAATCAAGAATATGTTAATTATAATGAAACGGTAAAATATAGATCTCAAGGTGCTATAGAAGCAGCAAAATTTGGTGCAGTTGCAGTTCTTATTCGTTCAATAACACCATCTCTAGAATATATTCCACATACAGGAATGATGGACTATAATGTAAATGTGACAAAAATCCCAGCAGCTTGCATTACAGTTTCAGATGCTCAATATTTAAACAAATTAGCCGACGAAGGTATTTATAATCCTTTTGAATGACACATTTCTTTTTTTTTACTTGAATTATAAACACATACGTATGTATTTACATATGTATATATATATATTTATATACGTGTATGCATTCTTTGTAATTATTTATAATAGATAAAGAAATAATTATAAACCTTAAAATGAATGCCAAAACGTATCCAAATGTTAAATCTCGTAATGTAATTGCTGAAATAACGGGTTTGATAAAACCTGAAAATGTTGTTGTCATTTCCGGTCATATTGACAATTGGGATGTCGGACAAGGTGCAATGGATGACGGCGGGGGTGCTTTTATTTCTTGGAGTGCCTTAGCATTACTAAAGTATCTTGGTTTGAAACCAAAAAGAACAATTCGGTAAAGACAATTGTTAATATAATAACTAAAAATTTTCCATTTGTTTATTAAAATTATATATTAAAATATGTAATCTTTACAGCACTTACAGTTTATAATGATTTTGAATAATGTACAATATTTATCTTTAGAAATAAATTCTAGATTCTTTAAAAGAATACAGATTTAATATTTCATATATATAAATCTTTTTACAGTAAATGCGATAGAATAAATAAAAATTTATTTTTAAATTATCTGTATAATAAAATATAACACTTTATGATAATATTAATGTGTTAGTTATAAAAATAAATAAGAAAATTTATAAAATTATAGAACAATTTTATGGACTGCTGAAGAATTTGGACTTATTGGTTCTTCGCATTATATAAATATACATAAACTTAAAGAACCAAATTTACAGTTTGTAATGGAGTCTGATGCAGGAACATTTACTCCACTTGGTCTACAGGTTTCAGGCACAAATTTAGTAAAATGTATAATTGAAAGAATATTTAGGTACAATTATAATAAGTATATTTTAATTTACTAATAAAATTCAATAGTATCATGCAATTATTTAAATTATAAACAAATGTTTAATTCTTTGTATCTACAATATTTAATGTATTATGTTTTACTTTCTCAAATTATTTAATTTACAAAAATATGATTTCAATATTTCGGTACATAGAACGTTGTTTGCCAATTGTTTTTTTAATTTTTCAAATGATACAATAATATGAACATATTAATACTTACTATTTATATATTTTAATTTTTTAGTCTAAACGAACACAATTACACACGAAAAATATGTATCTTTTTTAATTAATAATTTATTTATAATCTAAATACGTTTTTGACATTTTAAATCTTTTCTTAATAGTTTGTTAAAACCTGAAGTCAATTTCGAGATTAATGATAAAGCCGAGGGACCTGATATTGATAGTTGGATAAATTCAGGAGTGCCAGGTGCATCATTATGGAATGCAAATGAAAAATATTTTTGGTATCATCATACAAAAGCAGATACAATTGATTTAGAAAATCCTGAAGATTTAGATAAAGGAACAGCCCTTTTTGCATCAGTAGCTTATGTTTTAGCAGATATTAATATTGATTTACCACGTAATAAATTAGTTATTAAAGAACGAATATAAACACACATTATGGTGTTTTTTTTCAAATGATATTTATGATGATATTTAGATATATTTGTATGATATTTAAGTTATAATAAGTACATTTTTATTTTATTTTGGAAAAACAACAGTAATATTTTATTATCCAGCATTTTTATGTGTAATATCAATATTCATATTTTAATTGAAAAATGAAGAATAAAATTATATGTATTATTAATGAAAATATTGCACAAAAATATTAAATAAATTTCTGTTATTCCAGTAACAAAATATTATTTATAAATAATTATATAAATAAATAATTGTTCATATATTGTATAATCTATTATATTATCATAGCTTTTAATATATTGCAATGATTATCGAAGGACTAAGAATAACTAAGTAAATTTTGAACAAATTGTCTAATTCACTTAAATTATTTATCTGTTGTTAACTAAACATGTTTTTTTATTAATATAGATTATATTTTATTCAAATTTAACAATTCATCTATTCAATTAGAAAACAAAATTTATTACAGAAAAAGATATACTAATTTAGAAATATCGTAGATTTAAACTTCATATGAACTTTACTTTAATTTATATTAAAAAATGAATTAATGACAATGAATTTAAAGGAGCATCAATTTAGCTAACTAGAAATATAAATTTGTATTTTCAATAATTATTTATAATTCAATAATTAATTAAAAGTTCTCTTAATGTATGTTTTTTATTAATAAATTATTAAAAATTTTATCTTTAGAAGGTTAATAGTTCTATATTTAATGTTAAAATTGTCCGAACTTTTTTATAATATCAGATTGAATTTTCTTATATAGTTTAATTAAAAAAAATTTATTTCATTGAAATCGAATTTCAACGCGCAAATTAATATTTTACATATGACAATAAATAGTATAAGATACAAAAAACTTGAATTTATCTTAATTTTGTAGATACATAAAAAACGTTCTTATACACTTATATAATATAAATTTAGTTTATACACATAAATTGTATTAATGCTATTTAAATGATAATATTCTTGATTTTCTGAAACACTAAAAATAAGTTTTAAGCAAGAATTAGTTATCTTCTTATTTCTTTGTAAGAGAATACATTTATTTGTAAATATGTAAATTATACACATTTATATTCTTGAATGAAATAATTTTGAACTATTTATAATTATTTACCTAGTTATACAATAAAATTGAAAAAAATATTTAATTACAATATTCTGAGTATTCATATCTATATGCTCGTATTTCCCCCCAAATATATATATATTTATTTTCAAAATTGTATAATTTTAAAATTGTATTCTTATGTGTTTGTATAAAAACAATACCATACAAATATTAAATTAGGTAACATTAAAGTTTTTTTATTTAAAACCTCTTTTCTTTAAAGATGGTAGTGAAAAATCAATGGAAATAAGACCAATCTAATAATAATTAATTTCTAAAGAGATCCTATCTTTTTTTCTTCGTTAACGTAAAAGCTCACGAAAAGTTTGGTAAAAGCTCCAGATTTTGGTTGTTCATCAATATATGCTTGCTCAGATTTCGACAATGACTGCAGGTACAGAAAACCAATCTATTATGAGCAGAAATATTATTCTAATCTTTCGATTATTATACCTCAATGAATTTTGTAGTATGAAATAAATACTTTAGTCTTAAAAAAATTTACAAATTGTTGGCATATCTTGATCTGTTAGAATATCAGTTAATACAAGTCAGATATTTTTGTACCTTATAAATATCTTGTATTTTTTCTATTTGCTTTCAAACTTTTTTTATTTTTCTTTAGTGATCTTTTATTAGTAGGAGCCAAAATTAATTAAAGATAATAAGTATTGAATATGACATAAGTACAATTTTACTTAATGGAATTTAAATTTTTTTGATCAGTTTTTACTTTATAAAGACAATATGCACACATGATGGTATTAATTATTGTACAATACAATTTTTTCCTAATAAAATATAAATTAATATATTTGATAAATAACAAGTAAATAAATATTTATAATTAGAATGTATTGTTAATTAGTTCTAATAATTAAATTGTTTTTGATAATATATATATATATATAAACAAAATAGTTTTTTGCTATTTTTCTACTTTGTACATTGTATCGATTAGAACGAATTTATAAAAAATAATAAAAACTACATTTGATATGAAATTAGCACATATCATTAGAGAGAAATAATGCCATGTATTATTTGCAGTTATTACTAGTTTTATTCAATATAATAATTTTCATATATTTATATTAATTTAACTTTTATAACTATTCATTTACGTCGTATTACATACGTAAAATATATTAAAAAAAATTTATTTCTCGAAAAAAGACTATAAGTTTTACATTTTGCATTATATGTACAATATATAAATATGAAATTAATTGAAATACAGTTTACAAACACAAGGAGGAATAATAAGAAAACATTTCAAATCTGGTATCAATCCTATTTAAAAACTTAATAATAGAAACAAATAATGTTAAGTAAAGTAATAGTTAGCAGAGTAATTTTTTTTAATTGTTAAAAAAATGAGTATTTTTTAAACAGTATGTGATTCAATTATATATTTATATTTATATATATAAAAATAGTAATTTTAATAATATTAATTTTCTTTACTTTCATTGTCCTTAAGTTACTATGACTAAAAATATATTAGAAATCTTATTGAAAATTAACAATTGAAAATTTTAACCCTCAAATTTTGTTATTAGAAAGATGGAACTTTATCTATTAATAGTATAAAAACTATTTATAATTTATAACTTTATGTTTATTTTTATAATTTTTTATCAAGGTATGTACATACTTTGGACTAGATTGAGGCAAGATGTAATGTCAATTCCTAATGATTATTATAGAGTTGACACAATGGAATTTGTCAATAGTAATTTATTATTTAATTACTTCAAATGTTTCTATTACATACTGTACATAACACACTCAATTTATTATTATGCTATACTCATTTTATGACTAGAAACAGATTAATGTTATAAAAGTAATCTTATAAATATCTTATATAATTATTGGTAAATTAATCTTATAAAAATCTTATAATTCCTAAATGATTTCTTTCAAATATTGATCAGTTAAGTATTAAATTGTAGACAAAATTTTAGTATGAATGTTCTAAAGTACATATTTAGAGCAAAGTAAATATTTTAGCAAATTTTATTTTAAAATAATTTTGATAAGAATAGTGTATTACAAAAATTCAAAAGTAAAAATTGTGTAGGATATATAAAGCATAAATAAATAAATAAATATATATATATATATAATGAAACTTTCTATCTTCTATTATTATCTATTTTATTAAATATTTTAGAATATTCCGTCAAAGTATCGTATTACATACGAAATAATAATTTGTAAAAAAATTTTTAATTTGATTGAAAAGTAATTCATTAACATTGAACATATAAAATAGAATCGAAATATGTATTGCTTGACAGAAATTACAAAGAATTAAAGTATGACGTCTTTCGTAGACATACTACTTAAGACTCGTAGATTATAAAAAGTGAAGTCCCTTCTATTTGAAATTATTTAATTTGAATAATATTGATAAATTCAATAATAATCTAGCTTCATCATGTAATAGACTGTTGAATTTCAGAAGATGCATTCCCTACTGATATTAATAAATAGTATTTGAGATTTGTTACAGAATTATTTTCAAATTGTTCTATGTCTTGTTAAATAGCGAACATACATTTTTACAAATTGTTTTATTCTAGAACTATGCAATTAAACAAATTATTTTAAGTAATATGGCATTTATAAATACCGTTCATTATTTAAAATATTTAGAAATTTACTTAGCCATTTTAATGAATAGTCGATATATATTGATTATACTTATATACATTGATAATGTTATATAAAACAGCTTTTTATACGTTATAATATAAATTTAGTCGGATATTGTACACTTCGATATATAAACTCATACAAAAAAAATTAAATTATTGGATATTTTTAAATCATAAGTTTATTCTCTAAATTTCTATTATTTTTGAAATTCCAAAATGAACAAAAAATATCAAACGGTATTCCACTGTTTATATTTTATTTATAAATTCCATTTTAATTGTTGAAACTCGTTTATAAATACATTATTAATTATGGGAGTAGTTACAGCGTTAAAAGAATCTAATTAACATGAAAATAGAAATATTTTAGTTTTAAACACCTACCTCTTTGCTCCTGATGCAGGAGAGTGAATGACGTCGCTCGAGAATTTCGGGGTTCTGTAACCCTTAATGTTATTTATTCTCGGCGCCCTCCGACGGGGGTGCGCACGCGTCCCTCGACAACGCTATATAAGGGGGCAGGGAAGCAGGTGGGAGAAGTGGAGGCGGTTTTCTTCTGGCGTCTCGATGCATGTCGTCGATCAGTGCCGCGGCAACTCGCGCAACCCTCGGATGTTGGTATCGACGAAGTTGACTCTAAAAATTACTGTAAAAACTTGCAAAAACGCGAAGACGCAATCCGGACCACCTGTTTGTCGCGTTCTCGGTTCAGTCAGTCTGTAAAATACATGCTCATGCGCGTGTTCTCTTGTGCATTAAATTCAAGACCTAAAGTGAGATTCCGCGACCGAAGATAAACAATTTGTACTTATTTTGGGGACGGTAATTGCAACTAGTTTTATGCATAACTCGATGATATGATCAAGGTATATCTCAATTTGGTATAGTATTTTTAATTATAATGCAATATACAAGGAGGGAAGATATAAAGATATATTTAACTTAACTAACGAATTCTATAATTAAAAATAAAAAGTTTTCAAATTAATAATTGTAAAAATTCATATTGTATATCTATACTTCTTGTGTGTTAGATCGTTCAATCGATTCCTTTTAACGATTCCTTAAGCATATCTTGAGCTCATTTCCACCGTTCACTTATTCTGCAACTACTTTCATCGTACCTTATTTTAAAGTTTATGCATACTCGTTACTCAGCTCAGTCTCGTACATATATGC